TTGAGGTCGTACCACCGGTCCTGCGACTCGGTGCCCGACACGGAGAGCAGCGGAATCTTGCACATCCCAAAGTGGTGCTTCCGCGCGCGGCCGCGGTACTTGACCCGGATCACGATCGACGGCGACTCCAGCTTCGTGCCCACAAACTCCCTGCACGAGCGATAGTGGTCGCAGGTGTTAGACAAGCCACACACACACACACACACAACACACAACACACACACACAACATCACAACGCGTCGCACACGAGAGTTGTAATTGGTCAACCCAGATCGGGACTGACAGGTCACACACCACAACGCAACCAACCAATGTTGGACCTCAAGCACACGACACACATCGTGCTTGGTGCGGTTGGGTAGTTGGGGGTGGGGTGCCAAGGAAGGCGCAGGGAGGGCATAAGTACCCGATGAAGTACTCGCGCCAGGCCGGGTTGCGCGACTTGAGCGAAGGTTGCGTGTGCCACTGTGCGTTCTCGAGGCTGAGCTTGACGTAGTACCGGCGGTCGCCTCCGCCCTCGAATTCGAGTCCTTCCACCACTACACAGAGATGAGAGGGGGCGAGATGAGATTTTCTTCTGAGGATGAAATTGAACAAAAGGGGAACGTGTACCTTCTATGATGACAGTGTGCCGGGTGGCGAAGCCGCTGTCGTTGTTGGTTGAACATCCCACCATCGGACTGCCGCCGAGCGCCGCAAGCTGGCCCAAATCTTCGACCGACGTGGACAACGTGTAATCCATCATCATCTTTGTTTTTCTCTGCCTCACTCGTCTCGACTTCTCTTCTCTCACTACGACTCCTTTGACTTCGACCTGAACGACCTTCTTGCCAAGAATGACAAAGAAAGAGATGACTTCCAAGCAGTAATGGTCGAACGTTACTGGCCCCATAAAACAATACATTTGGCGCCGAAATGCGGCGAAATTGCCGGAGTGCCAGGTCAGCCCCCTGAGGGGAACAAGAAGGCCATGGCAGGTTCTGGCGATTTTCAAGACAGCCCACAGCATGCCCCTGTTCAGCTTGCTGCACAAGGGCACCATCTTATGCATGAGATTGTGAGTGCCCAAAAGTGCTGCATGTTGAATCTGGATGTTGTGGGATTGGCCAATACTTGGGTATTAAAGCAGAAAAGTGTCTTGGTTCAATCTCCAGGCTTGCCCACTATGACAGTGATCACCCCCAAACATGGGTGTGTGGACTTCACCACCTCCCATCCCAGAGAAGGGACTGCACTGCCATGATGCCAACAATCTGTTGTGTGTTGTGTGTATCAGTTTAATAGGCGGTCGCAACCGCTGGGGATTGGTGGAGGGCTTTTTGAATGTTGTTTGGCTCCTAATTTCTGCAAGTTTCTCTTATTTTCTTGCGTCCTGGGCGAAGCGAAGCCCAGACCCGATGTGGACTGAACTAAGAAATGAGAGGGGAGCGATGTCGCCCGCGCTGGCGGAGGGGAGCGCCGAGAGTAGAGGAGAAAGGGGGGGCGCGGGCTGGGAATTGAGAGATGATGGATATGTGAGAGATGGTAGTGGGGAGACCGAGGGCAATGAAGTGGGAAGTGCAGTGAGGGACTGTGAAGGGGTCATCTCCTCCTTGACCTCCATGGTATCGTCGCCCTCAGCCAGCTGTACCGCCGGGTTGGCGATCGTGAAGGCCCGAATTTTCTCGATGAGGTCCGCACGGCTCTTCTTCCCGAT